AGCCATTAACATCTTGTCATGCATGATTCGTCAAAGGAGAGGCATCGCTCGCGTCAACCCAGAGGTTCCATCGCAACTGGAGATACAAAGAACTTCACAGGTTCACAGATTTTAAACCACACTATTCGCAGCATGAAATCGGGGAATCATAATCGAATTTGCCGGAAAACAAATGGGTCATTCATCAGAAGTTTTCTTTCTTGAAAAGTATGTCTTGACTCGCCCAAGTTTGATTGTATCGCTAGTTTTAGCTAGGCTGAATGATTAATGTATACTTCCTCCGTTTTTCAATAAAAGAAATGCGATTTAAATGTCACAGTGAAAAGAACACCTTACCAGTCATTGTTATTCCATTATCATCAATCATGATTTGATTGGTTCTGGAGAATGCCTGCTTTTATCATTTACCATCAAACGCACTGACTAACTTGAAGCGTTAGCCAAGTGTACACGGTAAGAAAAAAGCACTCATAATTAAGTTATTTTCACTCATTTCGGCACTATAGTGCACCCCTGTTGGATGGTTTTGCTCCTCTGATTTTGACAACATTAGAAGGGAAAAATCTGGGTACTTTTTTCTGACCGTGTAGATGAATTGTGTTTGTTTTGAAGATCATCGCTGTCTCGTACGAGTGAAATGGACTAATGAGTTCATTATCTATCGACGGATATACACGGCGAGTGAGAACGACTCAAATTGGAGTTTAGTTCACTCATAATTGCAAAAAGTGCAGGAACTAAGCGATGATTAGATTTACCTCATGGCTTCCTGTGGAAAGCCATAAAAATCTGCCGGAAAATGAGGAAAATTGACGATAATTTTACTCAGTCTAGGAGTAATACCAATATACTGGGTGAATATAATCTTTTTTGTCATATTCGGGAAGCTTATCCTGGACAAACCTGGAAAAACTTGGAAAAACATGAGGCAAATTCATTCATCGCTGAGTTCCTGCCCTTTATGTGATTTATGAGTTAACTAAACTCAAATTTTAGTCGTTCTCATTCGCCATGTACGTTTGTTGAGGTTCATCAACGCTTGAATTTCCAATTCAACATAGACTCAAGTAAGAGTGGCACAAGTTTCGGGCAATGTTTACTAATCAGGAACATTAAATGTTCATTATTCATTACTCATGAACATTTTGTGTTCATGATTAGTAAACATTGCTGCAACTTGTACCCCTTTTTCATGAGTGAGTGATCTCAAATCCACCAATGCACTCTTGCCCTATATCATACCACACTTTGCCAGGTATATTCTGAAGAATTAAAAAAAAAAACGACCAATTGTAGTTATATCTAATGAACAGGACCAAATGGCCACTCCAGCACATGTTTCAAATTTTCACAGAGAAATGACTTGTCTTAAATCAAAATCCATATCAAATAACAAAAACAAATCAAAAGTAAGGTCAACGTTGGTCAAATTGTGAGAATGCGATATATTTACGGCCAAGTGATACCCCGATGCACACCCCAACAAACAATTTCAGCTGCAGATTAGCTTATAGGTACAGCCAAAATTTGCCTTATGCAGCTAATTTTTGCCTGTATAAAGGGCGAACACGAAATTATTGCGACACATTCAACAGGGCATAACTTTTTTACCATTGGGTAAAAATCAACCAAATTTTGCACACTTTCTCATTGATGTGTATTGTGTACATGCTGTCAAACTCGAAGTCGTGTTTTTCGATTCAACGAAAATGAAGGTGAACCAACGCGAGTTGAGAGAACAAATTCTTTCCAAACACCTGGAATTTCCTGACCTGTCGCACCGGCAGTGGGAAAAATGTTGAACATTCACCATTCAACCGTCTCCAGAGTGTTGAAGCGGTTCCAGGAGTGGTTGACGTTGGACCACGGCAAAGGAGCTGGAAGAAAACCGGGACCGGAGAACAAAAAGACGGAGGGAAAGGTGAAGCGGATGATTAAAGAAAATCCCAACGTCTCAAGCCGTGATTTGGCTAAAAAGATCGGCATGTCGCAGAGCTACGTCCAGAATGCAAAGAAGAGAGCTGGACTACATACATACAAGGTACAGAACTTCCCAAACCGTGATGAGCGGCAACAATCGACGGCTAAAACTCGGGCACGGAAGCTCTACGAGAAGATGCTGACAAAATATGGCTGCTGTGTGATGGAACGCGAAACGTATATAAAAGCCGATTTTAAGCAAATTCCGGGGTTGGAGTTTTTCATCGGCAAGAGCAAGTTCGATGTGGACGACAAATTTAAGAAGAAGAAAATGTCGAAGTTCGCCTCCAAATATCTCATTTGGCAGGCCATCTGCTCTTGCGGACTGAGGAGTGAGCCTTTCGTGACAAAGGGCACAGTAAATGACGAGATCTACCAATCTGAGCGCCTCGAGAAGCGCCTTTTGCCGTTCTTGCAGCAGCATGACGAAGCTCCGCTATTTTGGCCAGATTTGGCATCATGCCACTATTCTAAAAGTGTCCTGGAGTGGTATGAGGCCAATTCTGTCCATTTTGTTCCAAAGGACATGAATCCGCCAGACTGTCCGGAGCTGCGCCCGGTGGAGCAGTACTGGGCAATAATGAAGCGGGAACTTCGGAAAGAGCAAGAAGACAGTCAAAGACGAGAAGGACATGTTAAGAAAATGGAAAAAAAAACTGAGAAACTGGTACCGGATGACACTGTAAAGACTTTGATGGAGGGCATCAAGCGAAAATGCGTTCAATTTTACACTCAAGGCTCCATCGATTAACTTTTCTTTTGATTTTTGAAGTAAATATATGTATAAAACTACCCTAAAATTTTGGTTTGATTCTAAACATTATAAGAAAATTGGCATGACATTTTCGGTGTCGCAATAATTTCGTGTTCGCCCTTTAAGCTAAGCGGCAGCTAAAATTGTTTGTTGGGACCGTCACTGCCGCCGCCGAGGTCAAAACAGCTTCAACGCCGCCACCGCTGATGAAATGACCGGCGCACAGCTTTAAAACAAACGTCTTTGGCAGCAATCTGCTGCAACAACATAAATCACTGGAAATCCAATTTTTTTTCTAGATTAATATTTTAAATGTACCTTCGTCCAAAACGTAAACAATCCAGAAAATTAATTTTAACTTTTTCCACCACTAATCAATTCATATTTAAGAAAATTTAAGTATTTTAGGCATTTATATTGTTCACAATAACAAAAGTAACTGCATCTCAGTATACAACATCCAAAATATGTGAATAGCTGTCAAAAATATATGAAAAGCGATAACAATTTAATTTCATAAATTAATAAGCATTTTTGTGAATCTTTCAATGAATAGACCCTTTTTGTTAAGCCGTTGTGCTTGTCATCAGAAATGGTATGCCCTTTGCTAAGTCTTTTCGCAACGTCAAATAAATTTGAAACAAATTATCGGCCCTGGCTCTAGCAGTAGGGCCTTGCTTTGGTTTGAAAATTTGCAATCATCGGCTCTTCTTCGTCACTAGGCCTACCAATGAAATGAAATAAATGAATTGAAAAATTTCGCTGAACGACTAGTTATTTTTAATGATTTTTCTCGATTATGCGGAACTTTCCTACACGATTAGTAGCTATCAAGCGGTGCTAAATAATAGTATCAAACCCCGATTTGTTTACGTTTTGGACATAGGCCCATTTCAAATGTTGCTCGAGAAATGTGTTAAGGTGACTACATGACCGATGAAATTGACTCAAAATCGCTTTTCCTCAAAAATCTATTCGAATGTCAGGAAAATCGACGAAAATGTTACACAGTGTAGGAGTATACTACTAAGACTAAGACTTTGTGTAACCTCTCTCAATTGTCCTCATATTCGAAAAGTTTTCCAGGAAAATCAAGGAAAATTTTACGCATTCTATGAGGGACCCACGTGTTAGTGAATTTGAGTGCTCGGAAAGTTCCGCTAGATTCTATGGGCGTGTATGATACAAAAAAAATTGAACTCCGTCGACGCACTGCAGGATACGAAAATTTGCATTGGACCATTAGGATTCCTCGTACCGTACATTTTGTAGGGTTGAGCTATTAAGAATACGATTGAAGGAGGTAACGACGCTTTTAACGTCAGTTCTTTGATACACCTCAGACCAATAAACTCTCGAGAGCGCAGAGATGAACGACTGAAAGTCTCTTTAATAAAAAAAAAAAGATAAGATAAGACTCTCGAGAGCAACTAATTTCAAGTACCTTAAAAAAGTGAGAGCTGAACACAACTTCTTGAGCGCCTAATAGTGCTGATTTTCGTTCCTAAAATATATGGTTTTTTAATGTATGTGACGCTCATTGCAATTCGAGTAGAATCGAATCGTCTATGATAAATTTGCATGTGAAAAGTACGTAGCTATTATAATATATTTTAAGCACAAATGTTCCTGAAATCTAGCTACATTCGTTTCTTGCAAATGGCTTTAATTCTCACTTCCATTGAATCAAGTTAAAGACCTCAATACAAAATTACAACCTATCTTACAGTATCATGCTATAACTGCGTAATGGATCATGATCAATCATCTCATAACTATAATTGAAGTGAATTAAATTTAGCATACAACGTTCGATTTTAAACAGATAGCCAACCATTGGAAAAATTAGCGACTACTTTTTAGATAATTGTGCGTATTATTAACGAGGTACATTAAACCTTTAATCAATACCGTAGCACGAACCATCTCCCGTTACTTTCAAAAGCTTTTTTGTTTCGATTGCAAATTTCATAACGCAATATAGAGCGCCATTTCAATCATCTTGTCTGGGCAATTTTCTAATTAATTTTATAACACCGCCTCCTGCTTGATCGCTGCCGATGAAGATGGCTCTCCGATGAGCATTGAAATGGGCTCACAAAGAAAGGATTAGGTAACCGAGCGAATAATTAGCTTATCTACATCTTACTTTTTCTCTCATCGCCATGTACGCGCGCACGTGCCGACACTACACTAAATCCATCAGCGCCACTAATTAACCGACGCCTTTCCTTTTGTTTATCTATTCCGCTTCAATCTTTCCCAGCTTTGTCCAGGAATTTGTCTCCAACCCGTTAGATGGGGTCAGCCTACTGTTGGAAGTTCTCCGAGCTGTTCAGCTCAGCCAGAGTATGCCGATGAATGGAACTACGACAATGCCAGCTCCGGGTGTGATGCCAAGAACCAATCAGTCCTATCAGAGACGTGCCCTATTGGACGAACTTGCGTGCTTGTAAGCGTTATTCAAGTGTAACTGAAATTTTTCAAAATTCTACCTTATTTTTTTTCATTTTAGGCAATGTTTAAGTATTTGCTGTACGAGAAGTCCTGAAGCTGGTGCTCGATTGGGAACCACCCCGATAGGATTGCTTCCATTGGCCGCAGCTGCCACCGGCACCGGTATTCGGTCGCGTATCGTAGCCTTACAGCTATTAACGATAGCTTGTGATAAATCTGCTCTCGGCGATGGAACACAGCGAAGTCAACAGCAAGGGCACACTGCTGTATCGGAAGCTTTATCTACTCTCCGTCTCCGATGTGCAGAGCCAGTACGATTTAGACTGCTGGTTGGAATGCTGAACAGTGGGGGAGGCTCAGGAGAGCTGCAGGCAGTGGGAATGAAATTTGTCAACACATTTTTGGAAAGTGCCGAAAGCGTACAGGTTCGTCTGTATCTACAGGCAGAACTTCATCAGGCAGGTTTAGATCCAGCGCAGATGTGTAAAGTTATTTCATCAACATCTCCATGGTTGGAGCGGCTTCGGGTGGAAGTTAAGCGATGGGACGCCATCCGCATTGATATTGAGCAGCTGCAATGTCAGGCGCGATCGGCAGAACAAGTTCGCAGTCGGTTGGTGATTCTCGAACGTAGAGTACAAATTCTGCATGAGGAGAAGACTGTGTTGACTACTATGGAGAGACGGCTTCAGGAACGATGTGCGGAGCTACAACGAGAAGTGCTTCGATTGAAAGGTACACAAAGTCACGAAGCGTCCAACAGTTCCAGCTTGGAGAAAAGGCCGGTTGCATTGCCCAGACAAGTTCCACCACAGGCTAAGAGAAATACTTCCGAGAATGATGATGAAGGCATAAGCAGCTCGGAAACTGGTCAGTCGTCTACTCCTGAACCTCCACGTGTATTTCCAACCAAGGATGGCTCAAGTTCACATTCTCACAAGTTCAGTATCTCCCTGAATCAGGAAAACAATGGTCAATCGCACGAAGTGACCAACAACGATGATGATACGAACGCCACTATTGAAGATGTTATCGAAGAACTGCAAAACATCGTCAACGACGCGGAACGGGAAATTTCCGATCAGAATGAAGTGCTTTATCATCAGATGGATGATCTACCTGAAAAGACTCTCTACAGTTTAGAGATTAACACAGAAAATGAAATTGTACCTGTAAACCTACTACCTCACCCACCCCGCAAGTCCCGTTCCTTGGCGCATCTCATCTCAACTCCATCGGATGGAGAAGGGTCCGGCTATGATCTCCTTCTGGTCAACAACGACAACAAAATGGATTTTTTCGAACCCGAAGACCAGGGAAAGTCTCAAAAGAAGCCTTTTATCGATGATACATTTTACCCTGCAGAAGTACCCCACGATCCAACGCGACCAGATGTGATCCACACGGCCACTGAATCACAAGCCTTACACAGAAGTCGTGCACTGACCAAAGATTCAAATCGAGCCATACTGAACGTGATCATGGATGCGCGAGACAAAGAATCCCGAATGCTACGTGCTCAGTCCCTGGAACGTGAAGTCCCACAAAATCCTCCAGCTCAGCAGTTCAACGGCGTATTTTTCATGACGGATATGAATAGCGCCGGAAAGTATCCTAAGCCGGATATCACCGCTGCATTGGAGGCGAAGAAGGTCACTAAAAATCTTGATCGGATGGGTGCTTATGGCGTAGATTCTATGATCGACATCGTTATGTCCAGTGAACAAAGGGCAAAATCGAATGCGTTCCAGAAAGCTCGTCTCATTCATCAGCATTCAAATGGAAGTGGAAATGCAAATGGTGTAATTCCAGGTGCAAAACAGAGCACCGGAAATAACAACTTCAAGTTACGGTCTACCAATAATCCGCAGATGCATTATCCTGGAAATGAATCGCTCTTGAGGGAGAATAGCCGTAGTCAAACGAATCTTGGCTCCAAAGTAACGGATCTTCCCTCTGGATTGTACTGAATATGAATAAATTCCAAAATTCGTCGAATTTGAGACATTTTTAAAATAATTTCTGTGCAATATTTATTCTTTTACTGTGTAGAGTTTTAGCTGTATTTTAACACGTTCTTGCAGTTGAGTGCAAAATTGATTCCACACATACATTTTTGTTGTATTAAACACTCGGTTTGTATAAAGATGCTTACGCCCCTTTCCCTAGACGTTAGATGGTGATGGAACTGTTCGGACTATCCTTACTCCAAGGGACACCTTTCAAGCGAGCCGTGTTGAACGTTCATGACGATTCGGAGAATGATTAAGTAGAATTTAACTTTTAAGTAGTTATGTACTTTTACAAACAAGAAAGAACAAAAATGCTGAATAAATACATTTTGCGAGACATTTCCGAAAATTATTCAACCGAAACATTCATCTTGTTGGTTATACTGTCCCTTTTTGTTTTGTAATATTCTCAGGTCTACTCTCCCCGTCAAGAATTATTTTCTTTAAACCTTAATAGTCTCGGTCCAAAAATCCACTTAGCTGACCCGATCTATTCCAAGTTGCATGTACGACCAAATTCAAGTAACTCCGAGTTGCTAGAAACAGTCCGAGAAAGTTTTACCACCTCAAACTGATTCGATATTTTGAAAATTGATGAGAGGGTTTCCACAACAAAAGAAAAAAACAATCGTCTCTACTACCAATGTTAAAGTTTAATTCTGAGTCAGGGGTGTTTAGCAAAATCTTCAACGAGATCGACGAAATGTATTCACATGTATTCACGTCTTTGAAAATTTATGGACGGGGGACGATGTCATATATTTCAGATTTATAAATAAGAGTATTTATAGAAGTGTAGGGAACTCCATAAAAATCAAAATAAATTCGTAAAAATTAACAGAAAGCCATCTGATTTCAGAAAGCTTTGCAGGACTTCGGGGAATTTCATAAAATTTCAGAAATTCAGGAAACTTCATACATATTGAGTAAAGATCGTAGATCTTTTGAAAACTGGGCTTTAAGGCTCATTAATAAAGAAACAATAACTTTGGAAACCTTCTTAAAAGGTGAAGGAACTCCGTAGAAGTTCTGAAAATTTTCAAGAAGTTCAACAAAATTCATAGTTAACTTTCAAAAACCTCAGCTAACTTCATAGCAGCTCAGATAACTTTGTAGAAGTGTAAAATCGGCAAATAACATTTTTCTAAACTGTCAGATTTTTCCACAAGCCGGTGCCGGTGGTGTAGTGGTAAGCGCAACTGCTTTCACCCCAATGGGTCTGGGTTCAATCCCAGCCGAGGTCGATGGGATTTTTCTGAGGCATAGAAATCTCTGGTCACGTCTTCCTTCGGAAGGGAAGTAAAGCCGTTGGTCCCGGCCCATGTGTGTTGAATGGGTGCGATACCCGAGCAAAGTCGATTAACAAAATGAAAGCAAATCGATATTAAAGTTTGCAGTTCCTATCATAATGAAAGCTCATTTTGATTTCAATTGTCGCGACAGAAGTCTGATATCTTATTGTGCTTTCATTATGCAGTCAAGACTTTTTAAATCAAAGCAACTTAACTTGAAGTTCTGCTGTTAATTTCTTGTTAAAAATTTGATTTAAGTTCATCTGTCGTTGAACTAACCATTATTGTTTATTTGATTTGTTTAACGTATTTTAGGTCATTCGTGACTAGCCCGAGGTGATATTTGAGCTCAAATCTTTATGCGTGAGAAGCATGGATGCTAACCATTAACGACAGGCCCGTATTCAGTCAAACATTATGAATGCAAAATCAGTAATCAAATTGATTTCATTGAAAGCAGAATTAGTTTTCCGTTTGATTCAACAGTGTAAAATTTTGCTCTCATTTTTGCTTTGTTAACCGTTAAGTCAACCAAAATGAGATCAAATGGAGTATTCAAAAAAAGTTACATCATAACAGCAAATTCTGATTTCAATTTGATCTCTAACTTTGCTTGGGTATCCCGCAGGTGTGGAAGCTGCCTTCCTGCATTGCCGTCAATGGATGACAATTTGTCCGTCGGTGATTGGCACTAGATTGCGGAACAGAGACCGACGTTAAATAAAAGAAAAAGAAGGAATTTTTCCACATCTTTCGGAAAAAAATACTTGTTGGTTTTCGGATAAAATAGCCAGTGGTGGCGGGGGGGGCGACACCCCTCACCATCCCTCTCCAAAGGGGGAGTTTGGTAAAGAGACCGATTTGTACCTTCCTTAAAAGTTGTCCTAGCTCGCTTGTCTAATATCTATATACAATCTTCACACTGCCGTACTCTAACGGAACTATCAACTCTATGCTTTCATCTACTCCATCTATCGTATAAAAATTACCACTACAGTCTGTTATTTGAAATTAGCATCTTCAACTATGTAAATCGTTGACTTCACGTAGAAGTAATACTAAAAACATATAGTCAAAGTATAAAATAGATGCCAATTTTCCAAAAATGATCTTTTATTTTGGAGAGTCTCATCAAATTTGTTATTTTAATTTTTTTTTTAATGTTGATGCCAATTAAAAAAAATGGTTCAGCCCATCTTTTTTAAACTTGTTTTTTAATGGTTCTATGTTCAGTGAACATGTTTCAAGCTGCATTTTGATTATCTTTCATTCGTTCTGGACTAAAATTCATAATGATGAATAAAATTAGACTAGAATGATAGATCGCACAACTTATTAAATAGACCAATTGATCGATTCTCTTCATCGGCTTTCTCTCGTTAGCGTTAGCGTTGCTACGGTATACTTCGTAGATTGGATACTAGTGACACTCACGACTCTTTTAAAATTCTCAGACAGGCTGCTTTCAGTAATAACGCTGGGGAGTAAACAAGATTCCAATCTAAACAAGAATACCAAAAGCATGACTGTCGCTATTCCCGGCCACGCTCTGCAACTGTAACTAGGGATAGAGAAGGAAATTTTGATGTAGTACTTACTCAATTTGAGGCCACCGAGTTAGCGACACCCTCATAAGTACAACGGAGTTGGGGAATTGGGTAGGGTATTAGCTCAAGATTCGCCTCAAGCTTGCGATACGCCCAAAAGCATATGGTTGTTTTTTTTTCGGAGGTACTTGAGAATAAACCAACGATCTTCTGCTCAGTAAGCAAAAGCGGCAGATCCTCAATTTGTTTTCTTGATGAAATTTATTGATTGTGATTGTGATTGTGAAGTATAGAAGGAGGTCAAGGGCCAGGTCTCCGATTCTTTTATGCACCGTACATGCTATACCAGTAGACAGGGGGTGGCATCACAGCATCTTTACCAGCAGGTTAAATAAGTTCTGTGTAATCCACGAATGTGAGACAGGGCGAGCCATAGTAACATCACCGGTAGGGTATCGTGGCGCCCTTGATGACGCCGCCTTCTATAGGTCTGACGATGAGTCCGATGAAAATCCTCATCAGGGAATCCCTCGAATTTCGTTGGGCAAAGGTCATTGCTGCTGCCATTGTCTGATACTGTTCCATTGCTCGCTTCGTACATAGATTCAACCATTGTAGTGGCGTTGTAGGTGGCGTTTTGAAATTGTTTTCTGCTATTTGCCAGCTCTTCCAGAAATTCACGGAATTGCCCGTTCTTTTGATATCCTGTTTCACACTAGTTTTTCAGGTGAAATACGGCGACCAACTTTTTTTCCCTACGATTTATGATCGTTGTCTTCTTCAAAACTTAATCGTCTTAATCTAAAGAAAAGAAAATCGCCACTCGATCAAGCCAAATTCAAAGGTAGTAGCTGTGTACATTCCAAAAGTGTTGAACCAAATGAATAATAAAAAAAAATATTTTTTTTTATTTTTGCAGACTCAATTATTTAGAAAAAAAAAACAATTCATTATTAAAATCATAATTCTAAACTGCACAATTATTTAATATTGGTTTTCCAACAAACTTTTGGTGCGCTACATCACAACTGGCATCACTAGTGTGCATCTTTTAAATTGTAAAGATACAAACAAGCCCTGGGACCTAATTCCAGTTAAGCAATTCTCAAGGTTATGCCAATGCCCAGGGTGTTTTCTTGATGAAATATTACGAACTAAATAAATAAAAAGGAATTATCCCATCGGAGCCAATGCACGTTAAACTTGCTCAGAGTCAGAGCCTACTCTTCTTTCTCTTTCGTTAATAATTCAGCTGCAAAAACGTTTTCTGGCGTAATTTTTTTAATTTAATGCTGGAATGCCGTAGCTTCTTTTATCAAACTGTGTGTCGAAAATATTCACAAATGAGTTTACACGGTCATGACGATCCCGTTACCGTTTTGGTTCCTGTACCCTACTGATTCACTTCGAGTGAGATATATCAGGAGATAGCGAGAGCGAGGAATAGGATATATGTGTATTCATAACGAATTCGATCAGCTTTGTATGTCAGTTTCTTGTATACAATATTGTCTTGTTTTTAACGTAGAACTACGTCTTTAATTTCTACACTGGGGGTCACATTAAAAAAAAATCAAAATTCAGACAGGTAACGAAAAATCTTAAACACGGACGTAAAGATAGAGCGCAAATCGAACACACGACACATTGCGCATGCTCACCGCTCGGTTGACCGCTCACCATTTCACCAATGAATGGAAGGGAGAAGAAAAGCAGCCCAATCGTTTTTTCGTCATTTACTTTCGAGCAACATACGGATAAGCGTCGGGCACGACGTATGAGTGGAACAGCATGCATCACACCAATAAGATGACAACGACGAATGCACCTACATCGACCGGAGGAAAGCCCTCCCGCAATAGGCAAGATGACTGGGCCGCCGTCATCTGGTCGGCACCGACTTGCACTGGTGTGAAAGAGTCAAGTAGCGCTAGTTGTTCTTTCACAACAATCCAATTCAATGCTTGTCGGGTTAAATCTTGGTCTGGTGTGAATGCTGCCATACACTTGCAACTGGGAACGCTCTGGCGAAAACTACTCCAAAAATGGAGGGGCCTAATTAGGTATTCTGTAAGCATAAAACAGACTGTAATTCAGTGAACATGACGTTACAACGAATTTGAAAGACCCAGAAAGTGGAAGCGGACATCGGAATGAGAAGCATTACCAATGGCACCGACATCATTTGAACGTTACACAGCTGAGTTTGATTACAATGATTACCTGTGTAGTGCTGCTGCCAGGATAGCCAACAGAGCACGTTGTCTCTGGAGATACCCAAATACACCAGTTTGTTCGCTTCGATCCAAAATGGCTGTTTCATTTGCGACGGAGATGAATACCACACATTTAGTAGCACCCTAAAGGACGTGGACATCGGAGGCTCTCCGAGTAGCTTCACCATCTTTCGGACGTTTCAATGCAGTTGTTCCGTTACGCTATTGAGGTCTACGTAGTTAATTAACAGCCCCTTAAATACGAGCTAAAAATACATTGCG